GTTTATCTAGTCTGCAGTAAAGGTTTCCCAGGCTAGGGACAGATATTACACATAAACTGGTTTAAGTGATCAGAAACTGGTTTAAACCTGTAACAGAACAGTCATTCAGTGCACAGAAACCAGTCAGAAAATGGCTGAAACGGGTTTGAGATAAATCAGGTTGAATGTAGTATCAGATTTCACTGATTTGGCTCAAACTGTTTTATGCAATGTCTGTCCCAGACCTCTTGCTGTTTTATCTTAAACCAGAGTCCCCCAGCATCCCAGATGCTTTGCAGCCCTGAGCTGGGCTCTAAGCTCCAGAGCACGGCTGGCCCCACCCCTCTGCTTCCTGGCTGGAGCTCCCGCAGAGACTTGTAGGCACAGCAGGGTCTGCCTGGCTTCCCCCTTGCCCATCCCCTGCCTCTCACCACTTGCTGCTCAAGCAGGGATCCTCCCTCCCTCCCCTCTCCCACAGCACGGACTGTAGCCAGCATGTGGTATGCTAGCTAATGTTGAGAGGTGTCTGTGTATGGCAGACAAAACAAAGACAGGACAGTGTCGGTTTAGGGGTTTTTGAAGCTAATCAATAGGTAGCTGCTAATGTCCCTTCATTCCTTCCTTGGAAAAAGTTGTTTAAGAAGAGCTTGAACTAATGAAAGAGGCTTTTGTTTTGCTGATGGGCTAATAAATGCTGTGTAACTCCCTGCTGTATAAGTAAATGCTGTGTGACTCCCTGCTGGCTCCCTTACTGGTCAGGGGCAGCTAGATAGGGGGGAACCCCTCCCGAATCAGAACCTCTTGTTGGGGCCTGGCCATGCCCCTCCCCCAGCTCAGCACTGTCAGAGGGAAGGGAGGGCTGCTCTAGCGCCCCCTGGCCCCTAGCCTGAGCCACTGCAGGCATGTACCTGCATTTTTTCAGTCCAGAGGCAATGTCTGTTCGGTTACAAACCAGTTCAGCCTATCCAGGTTAGACTAACCTGCAAAGATTGAATCAATTCAGGCTCATGCTTTTTGACTGTCTGTCTCTAGCCCCAGTGACAGACTTTGCAGCTTCTCTAAGTAATCTATTCCAGTGCTTAACTACCTTCAGAATTAGAAAGTTCTTCCTAATTCCTAGCCTAAATCTCACTTATTGAAGTTTAAGACCATTTTTTCTTATCCTTTCTCCTGGGGGAACAAAGAGCAATTGAACACTATCCCGTTTCTGTATTTGAAGACTCTTATCAAATACCTTCTTTGCTTTCTCTTCTCCAGAAGAAATAATTCCACATCTTCCAACCTTTCCTCATGTTTTCTAGACCTTAATACTTTTTGCTGATCTCCTCTGGACTCTGTCCAATTTGTCTGCATCTTTCTTAAGCTGCAATACCTGAAACTGGACCCAGGAGTCCTAGTGAAGCCTCAGTGCCT